CAAAATTTAGAAATTTAATCAAATATGCAAGTATAAAAATGGTTATATAGTAAACAGATCATCGAAACACCTGTTCATTTTTGTTTTTTTAAAAAAGCAAATAAAGCAACATACGATATTTGCGGCGGCATTAATTATTTGCACATGATGCAAAAAATCGCTTTAAATTTAACATTTCTTTCGTGATCATTATATGTGCAATATGTATAATCTACAAATATTACAAAAACTTTGACGGAATTTTATTTTATTTATATACACTTCATATTTTATTATATTTTGTTAAACAATGTTTCATGTAACTAATGTGTTATGAGTAATAAATCTATTGATGAAATATATATTATAATTGAATAATAAGTATTGAATAAAAGTTAGAAACTTGATTATAATCTGTTTTCATGTCCATTATCTTCCACGTACACGTACATTTAATTGTTGTGCAATAAAATCTTTTCATTTATATTCTTTTTTCATTTTTTCTTTAACATCATTATTTTTTATCAAAGACTAACAGTGTTTCGTTATCAGATGTAACTTATTTATTATGAAATATTAATAAATATTAATATTTTTTTACCTTTTTTAAGTTACCAAATTTCGCGCAAATGTGTTTCAAATTATAATATTTATTCAATAGAATAATATTATGTTATTCGTTACGGGTAAAACTTTTTCATATCTGTATACATTGTTTTTTCACAAAGATTGTGCAGAAGATCCAGAAACGTTTTTTTTACAAAATTGTAACAAAAATAATGATTAAACAAAAACCAAATATTCAAAGAAATATATAAAAATTATTAATATTAAAAAAATTTGAATCATCAGTGGCGATATGCACTAACAAACTTGCACTTGCAACGGCCACGAATAGCGTTACAATTATATGGGGATATTTCTTTCAATTTTTCAAAAGTTTCTGTATGTCGGAAAATCATATTGTTATATATTGTCACGTCCTGGAAGAGAACGCAACCACTGCACCCGCAAACGGGAGCCCCAAACGTGCCTGTATGCCGGCGGTGCAGGTCAGAGACCGGAAGGGTCACTTTACTCTGACGCGAGCGCACGCAGATTGGTCTTAATTTAGGTCAAGGTACCGAAACCCTTTACCTGAGATAGGACCGCGAGCGGAATAATTGAGGAAAGGATAGTGAACGCGCGATGGTAAGAATATTAAATAAAGTGGGAAAATTAATGTGACAATTTTGACATTTATTTCTTGTCAACGGGTGACATTACAATATTACATGAGCAATGAGGTTACAATATATAATAACATACGGCAAGGTTACAACAATCAATTCGTGTGTGTGTGTGTGTGTGTGTGTGTGTGTGTGTGTGTCAAGCAGATGGTTTGCCGAGAGCGTTTTAAGGAAAGGGTAAGGAGTTAGGAGTAGGTAGTTCAGAGGAGGAAGTAGAGGAATCGCATGGAGATGGAGATGGGTCTTGGTTTCGTGGGTCTGGTGTGGGGCGAAGGTGGATAAGGATAATATTGTGGAGAAGGGGGAGGCGAAGTCCAGTAGTAAGGTGAGGGAGAGTCGCGATAGGATTGTATAGGAGCGGTTGGTGGTTGGGATCTGGCGAATAGGAAGGGGCGAGAGGGGAACCGGGAGATGTCGACGGGGTATTCCCGTCTGAAGGGCTCGGTGATTATGAATTTCTATCTGAGGTTAGGAGTTCGGAAAAAGCCCTGAGTTGTGCGGCTAGAGTATCGTCGCTAGCCTCGTTTAAATCTCTAATTGCTAGCCTGAGAGCCTCGAGTCTATCTTCTCCACGTAGAGTATTCACTACGATTTGGGGAGATAATAATATTGGAAGGAACGGAGCTAACTTGGACGAGTATAAACGTAGGTGGGTACTTATTTGTACTCGTACTTGATTGTAGATGCGCAAACCTTCTCAGACAGTTGGTTCTTCTCTCGTGACTTGGGTTGTCAGGTCGTTTGAATGGTAGCACTTGCGGTATTATTTGATTCAGACAGTTGAACTACTCGTGGAATATCTAAATGACTATCTATAAGAACTGCCGAGTCACGCAGCGAAAGGTTCGCAAAACTTGAGGCTCCGGACTGATCGCAGTCTGAGTAACAAAGGCGAAGTCGCGATGTAAGAATTGCAAACAACGAGACGTTATGGTGGTCCAGCGAGCCAGGAATAGAAATGCTCGCGGTAAGAGAGTGAGGTTTATAATGGTAAGAGAATGAGGTTTATATAGGGAAGATTTTTGGGGATGGTGTATGACGATCGCCAATGAGAAAAAGTTGCGTGGAAGACGGTTACTCTGGAAAATTCCTAGTATCACCTAGTTGACATAAATAATCTTAAGAACTTAATTGCATCGAAGGGACTTTTTTCTACCCACAGTACGTAGGTAGCTACTTATATTTCTGGTCTTGGTAACAGAAAGTGTTGCCAGGCGCCATCTGACGTTGTCATTGGAAACTTGACATTGTTGAACATAAGAACATAAGAACACATTGACATTTGAGCGCGGTTTGTGTTGTTTACAGTGAATTGAAAAATTCATTTCCGGCAAAAAATGGAATTAATTCGTGAACATTTTCGTGCGATTATTTTTCATAACTTTCGACGTAGATTATCAAGACAAAAGTGCATCAATGAACTTAATACTTAACTCCTTTATACAGCGAGAAAGCACCATCCTACAGCACTGTAAAAAACTGGTATAACGAATTCAATCGTGGCCGACGTTCGCTCCAGGACGAATTCCGTGAAGGTCGTCCAAAATCGGTTGTTATACCAGAAAATATCGATGCTGTGCGTGAACTGATAAAGCAAGATTGTCATGTGACATACCGTGAGATTGAGGCAACTTTGGGCATTAGTATGAAAGCATGAATAAGATATTGCATGAACATTTGTCCGTAAAAAAAATTTGTTCGCGTTGGATCTCGCATAATCTGACAAACGCTCAAAAGAATACTCGCGTTGATTGGCGCAAGGAAATATTGAAAAAATACGTTTAAGGTGCAACAAAGGCTGTGTATAATATCTACACAGGTGACGAATCATGGATATATGCATATGAGTCCGAAACAAAACAGTAATCTACTGTATGGATCTTCCAAGACGAGTCAAATCCAACAAAAGTTGTTCGCCGAAGAAGCACATCGAAGCAAATAGTTGCCTGTTTCTTCGGCATTACCGGTCACGTGGTAACAGTGGCGTTAGAGCACCGTAGGACGGTCAATTCTGAATGGTACACGACCATTTGTTTGCCAGATGTCATCAGAGAAATTCGAGAAAAGCAAAAGAAGAGGCGAATCATTCTTCATCGTGACAATGCGAGCTCTCACACATCGGGTCAAACAAAAGAATTTTTGATCGCCTAAAACATCGAATTGATAGGTCATCCGCCGTACAACCCTGATTTGGCACCCAATGACTTATTTGTGTTTCCGCACATCAAAAATAAATTACGTGGTCAACGATTTTCGACACCCGAAAAAGCGGTTGATGTATTCAAAACGCATGTTTTGCAGTTACCTCAATCAGAGTGGAAAAAGTGCTTCGAAAATTGGTTTAAACGCATGCAAAAGTGTATTTATCATCATGGAGAATATTTTGAAAAACAATAAAACCAATTTCGATCATAAATATCTGTTTTTTCATTATTAGGCCAGAAATATAAGTAGCAACCCTTGTATACAAAAGCAGATAGGATCGCAGACGCATTTGAAGGCTCCGTGACGCATTTGGGCGGCGTGTGGTCGTGTCATTTTACAGAAGCACTTGCCCAAGTTTGTTTGTTTCATGACCATAAAAAAAGGAATGCGGTTTGGGTGACGGACGCGTTGGGAAATATACGGCGCGTTTGGCGGCAACCCATAGTAACTTTATCACTTTTTCAATAGCTCTTCCCCTGAGTCCGTCTGCTTTCCAAACGTATACATATAAAAAAGGAGTTCATTGTTTCTGAGATACCGAGAACGTAACAATATGGTTGAATTTGGCATAAAATTTACTTTATTCTGGTAAACAAAATATTTTACAATTTAAGAAAAGTTGGTGATTGTTGGGGATATGTTGATAATCGTAGCACTTTTTCAAAGATCTAATTATGTCATTATAAAATACTTCTAAAAACATATTTAATTTTTGTTTCGAAAATTGTATTATATTTCTTATATTTTTGACAATACATGCTTCTAAAGAAGAAAACGGATTTTTTTTCAAAGGAGTATTTTGTCCTTTAAAAGTCCGCCTAGACATGTGTAAAAAAAATATGTATCTTTTCTTTTGGTCTAAATTACAATATATTTCAATCTCACCTCAATCGGATGGGGACACAGAGTTGCATACCTTGTAAGATATATTTTATTAATATTTAAGAAATTAATATTTATTGGTTTTTAATTTGTTGTTTATTAAATATATACAATGATGTAATTTTCGAAAAAATTGACATATTGTAAATAAAAATTTGCCATTGAAACTTTTCTAGTTAAGTAATCAATGTCAGTCGAAATAGAAGTTTGAAATACTTGATATTGCAACGTAATTATAATGATCGAATTACAAAATTTCCAAGTTCTTTATGTTTATTAATACAATATTTCAATAATATTATACTTACATAATTATTACATATGAAAAAAGAATTAAAATATTTTCAATTCATCGACATCGAAATGTTACAATATCAATATCCTTGCAGACAATATATTATATGCTTATTTAAATACTTCACAATAAATACATGTAACAAATAATTTATCCCTTTAACTGTATCATATAAAGCGGACTTCAAAGTGAAATGTTTTGCAATGGTTCCAATTTCGACCATTATTTCAATTCGATGTCATTACGATAATGATTTGATATTGATTTGATTGTTCATTTAATTTTCGTTTACTATAATAGTTTATAAAATGGTAGATTTTTAAAATTTAGTTTAACGAATTCAATTTGTAGATGAAAATATCTTAACCTAAACCTAAACCTAAACCCAGACACCTTGTATAAATACTTACTTGAGCAACCAGAATTTCGCCGAGGGCACAATATAGGCACATATGAGCAAATAAATTGAAGATATTGGATAATAGATACATCAAGTGAAAAAACGATAAATCATTCCCTTTCTCGAACAACTAATTAATGTAGCGAGCGTAAAATGTATAATTTTAATGGAAACTTACGTTAAAAATTTGAGAACATTTCAAATATATTGTACAAAAATTCATGTCCAAATAATTACATACTTACAGTAATTATACGGAAACCATAAAAAGCAAAAAGTATTCCAAAATATACAAACAATGCAAGAAGTGTTATATTGTATGTATCTTCTATAACTACAATAGCTCTATAAAAAAGAGAAATATAGTTTGCAATATATTATTTGAAAAATTAGACGCACATATCATATATCAATCTTTTATAGAAAAATTAATTTTTTCGAATTAATAATAATCTATAATAAATGTAAAAGAATCTACTGTTAAAAAGATAAAACCTAATTAAACGGATGTGTTTCGTCACACAGCTCTTCAGGCTGTTATGAAAGTTCTTATATTTGTCCAAGCTTATCAATTGATTTTTGAGAATCTCCAATTGACCACATATGTGAAATATTAGCAGTCCGAGGAAATTGTCGATACCGGTGTAAGACATAATTGCGAAGAGAATGTAGATAGCCTGACTAATAAATGTGAGCTCGTATTGTGGTCTGCTCGTTACATCGTAAATATAATATGTCTGCAAAGGCAGTGGTCTACCAGGATCAGTAAAATTTGTCGTCAATCTCATTGAAATTCCAAAGCCAGGTAAAACGATTATAAAGAAACATGCAACTGCCATTATACAGTATGCACAAGTAATGATATTGCGGGCATTCTGCGCCATTCTAATCATTACATTTCTATCTTGAATACTTTTTGAATTATCCCAATCTTCTGCGACCATGTTTACTACTGGTACAATAGCTTAATACATATCAATAACGAATGTTATAATGAAAATGCCAAAATAATAAATAATATTATTGAACTGAAATGGAAACTATATCAGACATAATCATAAATAAGAGAAACTAAAAAGACTAGAATCATATTTTTCTCCTCCTCGAGTTTTTAATAATAAAGAAAAAGAATAAAGATATCAGGAAAAAAGTGAGGTCCCGAATTTTTTAACATACTTCAACTTTAAGTTTACAATTTAGACAGAATCCTTTATATAATTTATATATATGCGATTTATGTATGTTTTATTTAATTTACGTCTGCCTATTATATCTTATAGTTTTGAATATGTATATATATGTATATATCTTAAAGGGAAAATTATATTTACCTTCTTTTTTCCACCAAAAGATTACTATCCTTATAGAACAACTTATGGCCGGCAAAGTAAATTGTAAATTATCTATCATTAACATGACGTTTCCTTGAATTCTAATCAGAGAATGTACAGAGGGAATCAGTACGCCTAGTGTTACTCCCAGAAAGACGACGAGTACTCGTAAATTACATAATAACTTTTGTTGAGAATTTCGGGCTGCTTTAGGCCATAATCCAATAAAGTTTAATATGATACGGTTTAATTTCACTGCCCATTCAAAATCTACCTACGGAGATCTTAGTAGATTGTATTTTAACAAAAAATATCAAAATTCCATAAATACAAATGAAAAAATCTCTATCAGTGAATATATTCGCACAAAAAAAACTACAAGAATACAAAAAAAAATTACTGGTACGCTATTGAAAAACTATTGTCCTTCAGTAATATACGAGTATTTTTTAAAATTCTTGTAATTTTTTTTTATATTAATATAAAATATTTGGTTGAAATGTGTAATTTAATTATAATGTAACAATATTTTCATAATGTAATAATATTTTTTAACTGCACATATATACAAAGACTGTTCTAAAAATTATTAACGAAAACAATAATTACATGCTTCAGATCAATGTAATCTAATCAGGTTGATTGATAAGTCTTTAGAATGACATATTAGTGGTGTTGCTACCTCCAATGCGCGGTAAATTTTCAGTAGTGGTAACCTTAAAACCTCTCACTACACAGTTGCAGACAACTATGACAATCAGTATATTTGTGAGAGCGATCGATAGCACATAACCTCTGATATTTTGTAAAAATGGAAAAAACTTAAATTCGTGCCGTGATTAAGTATTTCTATTTGAAAGGTTATCAACCGCAATAAATGATTAAGGACTTTCAAAAAACTTTGGGAGAGTCTGCTTTGTCAAATGCAACCGTATATAATTAGATTGCTGAGTTTAAACATGGTCGTACCAGCAGGTCGGATGCACAATGCAGTGATCGCCCAAATGAGGTGACTACATCAGAAATGTGAAATAATCCATGATATCGTGTTGGATGATCCCAAAGTGAAATTGCGTGAACTAGCTGCGGTTGTCGGTATCTCCTCTGAACGCGTGTTCAATATCCTACACAAGCAATTGGGTATGAGAAAGCTAACTGCAAAATGGGTTCCGCGATTGCTAACAATCAATCAAAAACGTGAATTAATTTGCATTTCTTAGCATTATTTGGACATGTTTACGCGCAAATCAAATGAATTTTTGCGTAGATATATAACCGCTGATGAAACATGGATCCACTTTTATACACCTGAATCAAAACAACAGTCGGTACAATGGATTCCAAAGGGTGGAAATGCTCCAAAGCGACCAAAAATGCAACAATCGGCTGGAGAGATTCTGGCCACTATATTTTGTGATGCAGGTGGAATAATCTTCATCAATTATCGTGAAAGAAAATAACAATCACAGGAGAATATTATGTATCAGTTTTGGGCCGATTGAATGATGAAATCAAGAAAAAACGGCCCCATTTAGCGAAGAAAAAAGTTCTCTTTCATCAAGACAATGCACAATCAGCTCACAAATCAGTAAAAGTAATGACAAAAATGAACGAATTGAGATATAAATTGCTTCCACATTCACCGTATTCTCCAGATCTGGCTCCGTGTGACTTCTACCCGTTTCCAGATCTCAAAAGATTGCTCCAGGGAAAGAAATTTGCTCCAAATGAAAAGGTTGAATGTGAAACAGACTCATATAATGGCGGTTTAGAAACTTCTTATTATTTGAAAAGTTTAAAGAAGCTAGAAACTGGTTGGACTCCGTATTGAGCAAAAAAAGATTATGTTGAAGAATAAAGTTACGAATGAGTTTTGTTAAGAAAATGTTTTTTCGTTTTCATTTCATGGACTTATCAATCGACCTGATGTATAGTTAATATTTTGTTACAGTTGTTGAATATGTTAGAAATAAATTGTGACCAAAATATATTGATGATGGCAAGAAAATATAACGAAATACTAAGGTAGTTTGAGCATATATCGTAAAATAGGAAGATATATATAATGTTTTTCAATAGTTCATAATGCAAGTAACTTTCCTAATGATGATTAACATTCTCACAAAATTAAGCACCTTGGTATCCGGTATATTTTGAACCACTCATGTCGAATGTTATTTAAAGACTGGCATCTGTTTCTTTATTGTGAAATGACGTTATTTTTTGTTCAGCAAAAAGTCTTCATCGCATATGCTCTCAATATGTAAGTCCTTCAAAATGTCTTACAATCGATCTGCAATAAAATACTTTGAATATTCTACTTTCGTTTAAAGTTTTTACCATTTTAGTACAAAACATCTAAAACATTCACAAAAAATTACAGAATTGCTAATAGATAAAGTATCGGCGAAAGAAGATGTGCGTAGTAGTATACACTCGATATATTCTCACGTCAGTCTCTATAACGCAAGATAACTTAGTTTATAGCTATATTATAGCTGATAATAGGCGACATATCACAGTGTTCGTACGTCGTTCAAAGTCTAAAGAACATTTTGTCCACAATACAAGTCATACACAAAAGTTGCTTATATATGCAAACAAAATTTTATCCCAGGCATCATAACCAAATAATTAGCAAAATTAGCATGTGATATTCTTATTTTGTAAACGTAATATGTTTGCAACAGGGATCCGGACAGGGCCGAAACCTGAACTAAAAATTGTACGGAAATTGGAATTTTTGTCGACCCGGGACCGTAAAACATACCGAAATTTTATAAGCCTATAGAATCGGAATGAAAATCGGAAAATGTAAAATTTTTTTCGGTTTACGATTCTTTTTGGTTAATTATTTCGGTTCTTATTTTGTGATTTAAAATAGTGGTATTTTTCCATTTCATAATAAAATTCTAATTCTCACGGAAAAACAGCACATTAATTCGTTATCGCGACAAATAAAAAATAAACTTCAAGCATATGATAATGAACAGAAGAGGATTAATAGAAGAAGTAATACAGTCTGTTTCACAAGAACGTACGGGCTGCTTTTGCTAAAAAGGCACAAAATAGTTAAAAATTTTATTTGAAACTATTAATAAATTCAATAAACTAAAATGTGTTTACTTAGTAAATTGTCCAATCTCCTTTGTTATCGAGTATGGCCTGATAGCCTGTTCCGGCACGACAGCGGGGCATGTTTTCCACGAGATTTTTAGTCAGTGTCTCAGGATGAGATTTCCAGATTTCCCGTATATGACAAGCGAGCTGTTATAAATGAAAAAAAATTTATTTTCCCTGAGTTGGACCTTCATAACTGCCTACAATTTTTTAGTGAGATTGGCATTAGGCGACTGGGAAAGCCAATCCATTGTAGTGATGCCATTTTTACGTTTCCACTCTATACATACACGACTTCGGTGTTTTGGATCGTTGTCCTCTTGAAGCACCCATAAACTATTATCATGAGACAAACCATTTTTGAACAGACTTCAATAAATACTTATGATAAATCATGTTAATTTTTTTTGCATTCAGATTTTCCGTGAAGAGATGTAAAGTATCAAATTTTTGTTTACAAAGACATCCCTACACTTGTATTTTCACTGGGTGATTTACTGTACGTTGAACAACAGAATTATGACAAATCGAACACGCATACTTTTGCGGAATCCAGGCCTAAAAGGATGATTCATCGGTGAAGATTACATTGGCAAAATCATGGTCAAAATTAGACTTTGCCTACTTCAATCGTTTTTCAATGTATTTTTCGTTCATAAAAGGTTTTAGTTTATTGGATCGCCAGCCGTATTTGGAATCAAGTAATCGTCGTCTACTAGTATTAAGGCGCACTTCTGTATCTTTTTTCAATAAAAGATTCTTCGCTTACCGTAACGAACAAATAGAATTCTTTTCAAATGTCCTGATGATAGTTTTGTGGTCTTTTTTCGTCGTTGAGCGCCGGGTCCCACGTTCCGGCAGGTCGTCAACACTTTTTGTTTTGTTATAATGTTTCACCCACTTTGCAACAAACCCCTTTTTCATGTAGCGTCTGGCAGCTGCATACAACATTTTCGGTCCTTTCAGATGTGTACAAATAAACACTGCTTCAAAACGACTTACATACACAGCATTCATTGTGTTTATTTTGCTCTGTTACAAACAAAACAAGTCACACTACTCAAATAATTTCAAAGCATTCTGCCGAACTGTTCAAAAAATTGGTAAAACCGAATTTAATTTCTGTGCGTCATCTATTAATGAAATGCGGAATCGTACGCTCTTGTGGAACAGACAGTACTATAATTTTAGGATAAATAGAAAAACAATTATCCTGAATTGTACAAATTACCCTAACAAAATATGCATATTCTGAAAATGTTTGGAGAATATCGATATTCTCCGAATATTCTCAGAATCTAAATAATTAAATGTTCTGTTAGGATAAAACTACAAATAAGGAGGATAATATTATATTGGGTTGAAGCATTATTATTCGCCGTTTACTTTTTGCGTATCTATCACATATCAATATTGGCGTATGTTTACATTTTTAATAAAAACTGCTCTTCTATATTTACATAATAGAAATGTGTGTCAAAAATCATGTTCATCTGCGCCATACTATGCTTTACCATTCCGAGAAAGGATGGAAGAAACAATCAGTGAGAGGCATTGTCGAGAGTGGTTTTCTCGTTTTAAATCTGGCGACGCAAGCATGGGGGACAAGTCAGGAAGAGGACGGCCATTGGATTTCGACGATCAGGCACTTCTGGCAGCCATTCCTTCGCCAGAAAGATCGTTGAATGATTGTGCTGCAGGCCTTTCTTTCTCAAAGTAGTAGACAATAATAAGGCGTAAGAAAATATGATTTTCGATAAGCATTTCTATTAAGTAAATATAGAAGAATGGTTTCTATTGAAAAAGTAAATAAACGCCAATATTCATAAGTATTAAATATGAAAAAAGTTAACAGCGGATAATTATGCATCAATCGAATATATCCACTAAATTAAGAGTAGAAGAAATAATGAAGAAATGTTATTTACATCAAAGAAGTCATATTATTATTTTTAATAATATATTATTGTACTTGTTATATATTGCGACGCGGACGACGCACGCGGACTGGGTCCGTCCCTCATGTTGCGCTCCAAGTCGGGGCAACCGACAACGCAGGGCGAAACACCCCAGAGATGCTCGATACTGTCGTGTCAGCCTTCACGAGCAAGAACGCCGGCGAAAAGATTTCGCGTGCCGACCGAATGCTCGCTCACGGCAATCCAAAGGCCAGACGGGATACCATTCGACAAAAATGGGTTCCTGTTAAGGGAATGCGACAAATCACAGCGAAACAAGGTCGAATATCTTCAAACTACGCGAAAGACAAACTGAATCGGAAATTGGGCACCAGATGCTGTAAGCATCACCTAAAATCCAAGTAATCGCTAAAATTTTCCTCTATATAGTTTCGCAATGAGCACATCTAGCTCAACTTTCCGAACGGAGAGGGGCGGGGTTGAAAATTCCTCAGACGACGGATTGCACGTAGAGAGATATTCGAGCAGAGAGGACAGACACAATAACAATTAACCTTTTGCAATCTATGCCGCCACAGTGGCGGCATTCGCAAGTCGTCGTAGAAGTCAGTAGAAGCTAACCTGGCGGCATAATGTCATTCATGATCGCCTGGCAAGCAGAATGGAGAACGAGACTAGCGGAAAAATAACTGCGAAACTCTAAATTTTCTCGGACCTGCTGGTACTCCCATCAAAATTTGTACTCCCAACAAAATCTGCAGACCATAAAGGTTAAAGTACAAACGTAAGAATACGCGATACGTTAACGTGAATAACCAAAAATCATTTATTTGATATAGAAATTTCGTTAATAATAAAAGAAGAAAATCAAAGGACAATAATAAATGATTCGACGCAATAGCTTCTGGCAACCGCCGTCCCAGCGGTCGTTTTCACATTGATAACGTAGAAAAATGCCCAATCGCTTATATCTAAAAAGCAAATCAGAAACGCGAATTACACGAAAGACGCTACATCAAATCTTAAAGAACGCCATAGCGACGATTACTCTTACGCTAACAAGAAAACTTACACACGCGACGGTACGAAACAGACGCGATGACACAATATTCTATATTCGCGCGACTCCGACAAGGTCGAACAACTTGCGTACTGTTTAACGCGAGTATCGAAACGCTATCTATCGAATTCAAATATTTGCTAACTCTAAATTTACTATAAAAATTAACGCACACAACCAAAAGCGATAATACGCAAGAATACTAATACGAAAGGATGTAAATACGAAAACGCAACACTAAATAAGAATGCGAAATATGCGAAATACGTGATCAAACGCGATTACCCAATATTCTCGACTGGCGAGTAAACGACTCGAGCTAAACGCGAGAATATTTTGCCGTTTGCAACTATCAGAGTTGCGAACAAGAATCCTAAATTTCTAATGCAATTTATTTGCGACCAATGCGCTAGATAAGTGCGAGAGGAAAGCCGAAAATTTCGCGAAAGAGACGCAAAAAGTATGCGAGAGAAACGTCGATTACCTAGGACCAGAGCGCTAGGTAAACACAAAAAAGACGCCAACTGTCTGCGACCAAAGCGCTATGTAAACGTGAAAGTAAATGCCAAAAGACGCGATACGTATGCAATGCAAGTGAATTCTACCGTCGGACACAAGCTATTTACGGGATCCGTCACAGGATTCTTGCATTGAACATCATACGACGAGGTACTAATGTGAAAAGAGACGCTACAAGAACGCGAGAAGAACGTTAAATAAGCGTGATATAGTTTCAACACGAACACGAAAGAAGCACTCAAGAGACGCGAAATAAACGCTATATAAACGTGAAATAAACACTATATCAATGCTACGTGATGAGATTAAATTCTACCGTCGAAAACACGCGAATCTACGACTCCGCCACAGGATTCTTACATCTAGCGTAATGCCCCACGACAATGACGATACGACAATTATGACATAAATGGCTACGACAATTATGGCACAAATGGTTTGTCTCGCAGTTCGAGATCTATGGGACCAATGTTTACGCGAGTTTGCGACCCGCCTACGATAGCGAAACCACGAAATTCCGTTGTCCGATGGATTCGGATCGGTCGACACACCCAACTCGAAAGAATTTTTTAAATTACTAAAATGTCAAGACAATTGACATTGAACAACGCGATCCAGCTCTAACGCAAATTTGTGTCTGTATTTCGGAAAAGAGCAGCCTCACCGAGTAGCTCCATTTTTCCCCTAAGTTGTCTTACGCGACACCATGCTTAGCAGTTTTGGAAGCGGCAGCTGGGGACACTGTCAATCAGGTAATTGTCAGTCGTGGTGGTCGTGGCGACGGTCGAGACGCAGGACCACATGCAGGATCAGCGCTCGATCCTGCATCGACCACAATTCTCCCTTTTACGTAACACGCGAGGAGGTGTAAACCAATTATCGCGCGATTAGACTTCGCAAATCGCGAAACGCAATTGGGCGCGTAGCGCACATTATCTTACTATACTACTGTCCTTCTTCCTCGGGGCATCTTTTCCCAAGGCCCGTTGCTACTGAATCAGCGATATCCCTCGCCGTATCCTTTCTCATCTGATGAGGCTTCCTTGCCTTCTTTCGGCTCTTGCGGCTCTCGCGTAGCCAACTAGCGCGCGCTGCTTATCATTCACGAGCGTGCGCCGGATTCGTTGCTTTCTCCCGGGTATTGTGGCATGGCCGAATTCTGGTCCGCTTCCTTCTGCGGCAGTCCTCGGCGCGGTCCATCTGGCTGTCGCCTTCTGTAGGCCTGGTGAGGCGTCAAATACAAGAAGACAGTCTTAGAATTAAATCTTAATATGCTAATTCGGCCCTCCTCTTAGAATTCGGTAGACGACACTTTCCGGTACTCCCGTTCGCGGCTAGAACCCTGCAGTTTGTGAAGGACAGAGGAGCAGTAGCAACGCCACAACGTTTCAATATATGTAATATATATATACATGTGTGTGTGTGTGTGTGTGTAACCTATAAAATATAGTAAACATTTATTGATACATTTCATTTATATTTTTTATAGCACTAGATCAAGAAGAAAAATTATTTACACATTTTTAAATTATTGTAATATATACAGTGCAAATGTTTAAAATATATCTTAGATATACTTTGAGGACATCTAAAAGTACAAAATATCTTTTAAACGCCTTTAAGATATTTTTTAGACATTTATGCTGTATATAATAGGTCTATGCAGAATTCCGTAGCGAAAATTAAATAAATTTTAAACGCAAAATATTTAGCAAAATAGCGATTTTAATAAAATAAATATATTTAATTCTGTTCAATGACTTTCTGCCATCTCTTCAGGAGCCTCATGTCCTTCTTTCATAGAAGTCCTGAGATTTTTGGGCAAAAAAGTCATCCAAGTGGTTTTTGAGGGCGTCCAAGGAACTGAAGGTTTTGTTATTCAAATTGTTCTGTAACGCCCGGAACAAGTGATAGTCTGAAGGTGCAAGGTCCGAATTATACTTTGGGCGTAACAAAACATCCCACCCAAGCTGCAATAACTTTTGCCGAGTCATCAGAGAAACCTGTTGTTTAACGTTGTTCTGGTGGAACGTAACGCCCTTTCTATTCGCCAATTGAAGCAGCTTCTGATCAATTGCTGGCATTGATTTGACCAGTTGTGAGCCGTGCTTGTTCGAATCAATCGGTTTGTTGGGTGGCAGTAGCTCATAATAGACGATGCTTTTCTATTCCAACCAGATACTGAACATAACCTTCTTCGGGTGTAATCTAGCTTTTGCGACCGTCTAAGTAACCTCTCCGCGCTTTGACCATGATCTTTTTCAACTGACATTGTTGTAGACAATCCACTTTAAATCGCCAGAGATTATCTGCTTTAAAAATGGTTCGTTTTGATGGCGTTTGAGTAGCGAATTGGTGGCTAAAATTCGGCCCATTACATTATTTTTGTTCAATTCGTGCGGCATCCAAACATTAAGTTTGTTTACCATCCTAAGCTTCCGTAAATATCTTGAAACAGTTGATTAGTCAATGTTAAGATTGTGTCCGATTTCTGTAGTCAAATGCCGGTCGGAGTCGATTAAAGCCTTGATTTGATTGACATTAGTATTGACCGACCAACTAGAGCGAGGAGCGTTTAGGAGATCAAAATTTTTGCAACGAAATTTCTCAAACTACTTCCAACACACTTTCGCTTATGACATTCTCTCCGTATGCGGTGCATATCTTTTCGTAATTTTGCAACGCGTTTTTGCCTTTTCGGCAATAAAAAAGAGAAATACACCGGAAATAAACTTTTTTCCTTCCATGTTCAAAATGTAATTAAACTTCGTATACGTCACGGATCTCGATGAATACTTTCTTAAAACGTTGGCACATATTTCAGTTTTCATTCATTGTACGACACTTCATGTGTTGACACGCACGCACGCACGCACACACGCACACACGCGCGCGCACACGCTACACGCTCGCGCACACACACACACACACACACACGCACGCACGCACACACGCACACAAAGGCACACAGGCACATAGCTTAACATATGTTATCCAAGATATGATCCTGAGTAACAATTGAAAAGTTACTCGTCGCTCACTGTTCATTAAAAAGATATTAACAAAACAATGGAAATACATTATACACATCTACCCACATTGACCGGTGCTTAAAGTTTTTTCACTGCACTCCTAATTAGAATATTTTATATTAAATTAGTCAATCGTCTACTACAAACTATTGAAGCCCATTCATTTTTAAACAAAATTTCTAATTAGGAGTCCAGTGAAAAAACTTTAAGCACCGGTCAATGTGGGTAGATGCGTGTAATGTATTTCCGTTGTTTTGTTACTACATACATATGACAAGGTCAAGCCCATCAGAGGTAGCATCAGTTTTTTTTACATTTAGCGAAATCTTAAAGGAAAACAATGACTTACTGATTACAAGTATAAACAAACTCTCGATGAAACAAAGTGAATTTATTGAAAAAAAAGTAAATGATCATTTTATAATTCTAAATACCGTGATTACTAACCTTATGCACGATCAAGGGAATATAATGATATATTTAAACAACATAAACGAAGGACATTTGTCACAACAGATAACACCAATAAAAGAAATAATTAAGAGTCCTAAAGAGACAGTAACATTTACCTAAAGGCATTCATTTCCTAGTTACCCTTTTATTGGAGAATAGGTTTCCAATAAGTAAATATATATCAATTAGCGCGTATTATAAAAAGGGAAATAGATGGACTATTTTAAAAATACCATTGATAACTTACCCGGCTTATGAAATAGTACAAGCGATACCATTTCCCTTACATGTACACGATAACATATTTGCACTGACCAACGTCGCAAACACAACAATCGCCGTCAACACAGAGTGTAACACATATTTAGTACTGAATGAAAACGAATTGAATGAATGTATTCAGTTACGGAACCGATACACATGCTCTCACAACACTCCGATATATCGTATACGCTCCGACATGCAAGATCCAAATATTTACAGAGCAAAAAACACTTCGAACGTTTAACATTATTCATGTAACAATAAACCAACCGTAATTATTTCCTTGAGAAAAACGCCTGGTTGTATTCAATATACAGCCAATGTTCATACATTGTAAAAACAATACTGAATGTCGAGAGAAAATCTTATAATTAGGAATAATTCAATTTCAATAGCAGTGTATGCTGACAATATAAGATATTATAATACGAGGGCGGTTCAATAAGTACCCGTGTTAGACGACATAGGGCATTCCTGAGGGAAGTTGGTGTTATCATCGTGTGCTGTCATCTATCAAACGACGGCAAAACAAATTGCAGATTGATTGATAGGTTAGTTTGGATTTGGCAGCCATTCGAGTAAGACGTGTTTCGTGATTTTCGCTAAGATGGAAGAAGAGCAGTATCGTTCGGTAATTCGCTTTTTGATTTTGGATGGGAAAAAATGCGAGAAGATAAAAGCAAATTTGGATGCTGTTTATGGGGACACTTCGCCATCTATGACCACAGTTAGATATTGGTTCAACAAATTTAAACGTGAGGGAACATCCGTTTTTGATGAGGAGCGACTAGGACGCCCGGCAGACGTGGTTACCGAGGAAATCATTCAAAAAGTCCACGACATGATTCTCGCTGATCGACGAACGAAAGTGCGCAAAGTAGCAAAGGCCGTAGGTGTGTCGACCGGAACGGCAATTAATATTTTACATGATAAGTTGGCGATGAAAAAATTGTCGGTCCGATAGGTACCGCGATTGCTCACGGTGGACAACAAGCGGATGAGGCTGTTAACTTCGAAGCAGAGTTTGGAGCATTTAAGCGAGGTCCGAAGGAGTTTTTGCATCGAGTTGTCACCGTTGATGAAACCTAGATTCATCATTACACACCAGAAACTAAGCAACAATTAAAACAATGGGTTTCTCCAGGTAAATCTGCTCCAAAGAAGGCGAAGACGAGAGTTCGACAAATCCTATTTTTTGAAGGGGTTAAAAAAATTGCAGGAAAGTTGGGAGAAGTATATTTTTTTAAAAGGGGACTATGTAGAAAAATAAAAAAAATTTTTTGAAAAAATGGCGTCTTCATTTCTAACACGGGTACTTATTGAACCGCCCTCGTACAGACTCAGGAAACGTTTGAAACCAATGAAATACAAATAAATATACCGGAGTATAATCTGATATTTTTACAAAAGACCACGACAAGTCAGGAGAGAAATAACACGATACAAACCTTAAAACTAGAAAAGATAATACAGATTCTCACTGAATTAACAAACTTAGGATATAAGTTGACCGAAATACGTCAAGATCTAGAAAGTCAAAGTTTATTCGAAAAATGAAAGTATTTAATTTATTCCACCGCGCCGAGTGACATAATTATTATAATTGTAATCATCGTTATAATTTATGTACTAAGAAAATTATATAATATTTCGAAAAAATAATCAATTTGTTAATGAACAAAATAGAGAAATAGTACAAGATATAGAAATACCTCGCTGTAAATTTGGAGAAACTCGCCGAATCAAAACCAACTTGTAAATATAATGCACACAAATAGTTATAAAATAAATGATTATATAAAAAATATTATCAACGGGAAAATTATTGTAAGCGAAAACGTCGTTCCTCCGTTTTCTTTCTCCAACGGGAGAAAGATATTTGTATGTGCAACCATGAGATGTGTCAATTGTCGTAAACAAATGAAGGTTATGATCATAGATCGAATTAATCACGTTTGCAAGTTGTCACGATTACGAGACGTACCCTTGCAGAGATACAACTCTGCACTCTGCCGAATGCAATACCGGAATTAAGATGGTCCGCGTCCATACCCAAGCAACGTTGACGCATCAAAACTACTTCCTCTGATTGTGATACCGCATGAGAATGAAAAGACTCGGGACCAAACTCAGAAGGATACTTTAGACTCTCAGTTCTTGGGTATGGACACGTTGTCAGTCACACTTGGAATCCTGTATCAGGTGAGAAAAGAATAAAGACAAGTTCATTTTTGGAAAAGAGGGATAATTTATTCTCGCCATAGCCTTCCGTTCTACCGCGTTGCGACGAGCATCTTATACTACTCGCGTTGTCTCGACTCACGCAACAGCTATGACCAACGCATCCTGGCTTTGATGCGCCTGTCGGTCACAACCCCGTCAGCCCATTCTGAGATTTCTTTCTAGACTAGAATGGACTGTATTTGTGTACAGCCGCCGCATTCTCGTGCTCGCATCACCGTCGTCGGACAAGAGGAGACCGACAGCATTGGTGATTTTGTCCAACTTCAGAGTGTGGACTTCGAAATATGGTCCAAACCTCCATTTGCCACCCAAGGTGGAACCCAGGTACTTCAGAGTGGGCTTCACTCCGACACGGGCCGTTCCTATCTAGACCGGGGGGG